GCATTTAAAAGATTAAAAAACTCAAACCTTTTAAAACTTCCTTCAATCTAAATCTTTATGCAAACACCCATTCTTTTTATATGCAAGTTACCTTTAAACAGGTAAATAAGCAATTATAAAAGATTTACAAACTGATGTACACAATTTTTATCAAACCCCAAAGCATCCAGTTAAAGGAGTTATTCAGTAACTTTAAATGAGACAAGGAATTGCTAAACTAAACCCTGCTGCCCCCTTTAGCACTGGCTAAGCATATGATAGTAACCCACATAATGCATTGCACAGAGACCTTGTAATGCTGAGACCCCAATATGGGGCGTGAAAATCTGAGTTCATCCTTCAAGTGGCTGGCAGCTATTTGGTCTTAATTTAACTAACTTTTGTGGTTTAATTCACAAACCCTTTCGCCCATGCTGAGTTCTCAACTGACGAGTGGAGACACTAGCAGGAGAAGGCATGGCTTATTTGGAGCAAACACATGCAAGATTCTACAAACTGGTACACTAGATGCTAGCAATAAATATGTGGAAGTTCCAGGACAAAGAGTAACATAATACAACCCTAAGTAACCCAACCCCCACCAAAACCGTACCACTAACATTTGCTCTCCCAAGGAAACAGAACAAAAACATGTGCACATACACACTCCTTGGTAATTTACTCAGTGCAATGTAGCCTGACTGAAGCTAATTTTGAGAATATGAGCTATTTCTTGTGGGTCTAATCACGCATCCCTGTTGGAACTGGATGTTCTGCCACAGCATTTACTCTCCTACAAACAAACAAATTTCAGGCTTATCTTATCCACAGGAAAGAATTCCTGGACAGGGTTAGTCTCATAAGCCAAGAACAATTTTTAAGTTCCCAAGACCTTTCCTCAAAGAAATAATGTCTCGCAGAATGTTCTATAATTTAACAACCAGGTTTCTGGGAATACAGTAGGACACAGTCAGCTGAAGAGAGATATTTCAGTTTCCTTGAAAAGGTTTTTGAGCAATTTGGGATTTCAGTACCACATTCTGGCTTTAGTTAGAGCACTTTCCCAGATCTGACCTTGAAGCATGGCAATGGGAGCAGCTGGGGGATTCAAGTGAGAAGAAAGGGAGTTGTTGGCAGTTGTAAACATTTGTCAGCCACAGTCTCTGTGCATGTTTCCTTAACGCCATGGTGTCCAATGCCCTAGCCACAAGTGGCTATTTGGCTGTTTGTAGCCACTACAATGGCTATTGCTTCAAAACTGGTTGGACACCACGGCCTTAAAGACATCAACTATAACCCAAAAATTCCGCTTGTTTGGAGTATGTGTTCTTGCAAGCACTTTGTGTACAACTCTCCCTATTCTGTTTCGAATTATGGACATTGATGGAGATACCAGTTGTACATTTGGAAGAGCGCCTTGGTCACTCTGTAGTATGGCATGAGAAATGTAAAGTTCACTTGGGAAGGATGCATAAAAGGACTTCACAGAATGAATGGAAAGAGATGGTCACAGCTAAGTAGATGGCTGACTAGAACGGCTTGAAGATTTTAGTGCCTTCCCCCCCCCAAGATGTTTGCCAATTCCTCTTCCTCTGACACAGAGCTGACCTTGATCAGCTAGCACACTTAAATATGACTTGCCCTACCTTGACAATGCAAAACCCATTTAAAATCCTGTTAGCTAAAGCACATAATAAAACACTACCTACTCTCCTACTCTAGAGATGGCCTATGCTAGTCTCTAAAGCAAATACAGACTTGTTTACAGTACAAAAAGGAAACATTCATACTTGGGGAGCCGAAGCTGAGAGCATTGGGAGTGCTTAGACTTCTGCCTCCAACTCTAGCAGTGAAGGGCATGTCCTCATCTTGAGCTCGGAAATCCTCCTCATTCGGGGGCACCATCAGACAGACATACGTGTGCAGCTGTATGAGAAGGCGATGTTGGAGCATCCATATCACCATTTGTATGAGCTGAGTCTGCAAAGCAAAAGCCAGCATTTTAAATGACCACTCAGAGCACAGTGCCATTCAAAGTAAGTGGGAGACTATGCACAAGACACTAAGGCCCCATGGGGACGTGCACTACAGAAACTCAAATAAAGGCAGGTTCTTTCCTTAGTACTTCGTTCGCCTACTCCAATGCATTTTGCTGCACATCTCAAACACCACCAAGGGGCTAGGCCTCTGAGCTAGGGAGAAACTCTCAGCAGTGTTACTCAGCTGTAATTGACTCAGACTCTGACAGATTTGTCTACACATGTTTAGTTCATGGCAAGCTGGGGTTTAAGCGTGTGCTGCACTAACCCACCGTGCAGTAAGGGCTTGACTAGATGCTACATTAGTCTGTAATGGAGGGGTGTAAATTCTAATGCACATTAACATGTTGCTCACTAAGTGTCCTATGTGCACCCGGCTATTGCATGTTAAAGTTTGCTAGTGTGCATTAGTGTAGTCCCATCTCAAACAGTACTACATTAACACGCAAGAGGGAAAGACAAGCCATTTACCAGCACAATGAGTTCAAGTGGTTTTAGTCTAATGGGAGCTCCACTATATGACATGCACATGCCTATGCACTCTTGAGCAAAGATTTTAGTGCCCATGGGTTTGTGTCTATGTATCCTACATCCTCATGCTCCAGTTTGAGAGTATACAGGGAGATGCAGACCTGGGGCTGCTCCAGTTCCTTCTCAAGATGTAGCCCAGATGACACTGCAGCAGAGTGGAAGGAAGGTGAGTGGCAAAGCACCCACAGGGATAAAGTACTCAAGCTACTGTACGGGTAAGTAACTTTCCCTTTTCAAGTTATATCGACTCTAGGTGCTCCACTCCCAAGCAACGAAGAAGCAGGAGCTGAGGAGATGGATCCAGCACAATTCTGAAGACAGCACCAAAGGCCATGTCTGGAAGCAATTAGGATAGCATTCTGCCTGGAGAATGTGCGGTTGTAGGCAAAAGAGATACCCTTTGAAAGGTTTTATTATTTTGAGGTGGAAGGCAAGGGCCCTTTCTCAGATCCAGAGAATGGAGGATAGCCTCTTCCCTTGAGGAATGAACACCTGGGTAAGATATTGGTAGACTTAATAGCTTGATTGATACAGAATTCGGAAGAGACCTGAGGCAAGGAATGAGGATGGAGGCATAAGCCAAATGTTACCTTGTCACAGTAAAAGGTAGCAAAAGGAGGGTTCGCCATGCTCTCCTACCTTCTTTGCTGAGGTTATGGCTAACTAGAATAAAAGTCTTGAAGGACAGACACGGGAGGTTACCTATGAGTTTAAACAGATGGCTCTTTAAAGCACAGAGAACCAGACTGTCAGGGCTGTTCCTCATTCTGGCACTCCCAAGTGCAGAAGGTGGAGGCCCACAAAGACTTTAAATATACCTTGCCTCTACAGGTTCTGCTTACAGAAACTCCACAGAGTCACAGATTTAATGACTTTGGGGGGGTTAGCTGCCACCCTCAAGTGATTTACCCTAAAAACAGGGGAATACCTGAATTCTCTCCAGAGGGGTACCTCAAGCTCTTTTACCAACAAGAGAAGAGAAAATTAAACTGCAGTCTCTGGTAGCTGACAGCTCAGTCTAGGCAGGCAGGCACGCACACACAGACCCCGTTCCTTCCCAAGACACAAGAATCAAATAATCGCCTTCAAAAAGGTGATTTTTATTAATAAAACAAAAGCTGTACTTGATAAAGCAAACTCGACTGCTAGGTGTTACAGAGCAACTAAGTAAAACAAATTAAAACACAGAGGAAATCTCTGGGAACAACTCTTAGGTGGTGAATGGGGGAGAGGAAGCAGATTCACACAGAGCAGTTCAAACCAAACCACAAAAATAAAGGAAAATACCCTGATTGTGACTAGATACACTTTTCCCCTTTATTTACTCATAATCCCTTCCAGGTTCAGTCCGCCTCTATGCCCTAAATTCCTCGGAGGCATGGTAATTCTGCCTGCGTTTAGATCATTCTGCATCTCTCTCAACTCCTGTTTTAACTCTCCCCCACAAAGAAAACAGGCAAGGTATCTTATACAATTCAAATGTCAGTACTCTATCCCCATGGGTTCTTCTGGCTCCTTGCCAACAACTTTGCTAGCTACCTGAGTTTAACCCCTTAGTCACCAGCTGCTGGCCAGCACTCCTCTATCCATCACACAGATGAAAATCCTATGGTGGCATGAAGTCCTTGACATGAGGAAACAGATACAACAAACCCTTAAGGAACCTGAAATGGTAGAGTAAACAAATACCATAAATCTTTCCACTGGTGGAAGAAAGGCTGCAACTGCTGCCTACTGAACCCTGAGTTCAGTGACAACCCTGTATTTTTAAATCTAAATTAATCCACAACATCCATGAGAACCAATTCAGAGGCAGATACAGATCAATGGGTACACCAGACTTGGAAACTCCTTCACTTCTGCAGGCATGCTTTTCTTGTGGCAGCTTTCCTGCTGTTTAGGGGTACAGACAAATTCTGGAGAGCTGCCCAATTCTTTGTGCAAGAACCACCAAGAAGCCAGGCCTTGACGTGCAAAGATGAGTGATTGGGATGGTTTATGGTGCCCAAGTCTGGTGGCAGGAGAACCACGGTAAGAGGAAAACGATGCGAGTTAGTAAGAAGCTGCAAAGCAGAGGCAGGAACCACACTTGTTTCAACCACAATGGTGCTATCAGAATAGCCACAGCCTGCTCTTGCTTCAATTTGTTCAGAGCCGTAAGGATCAAGGGAGAGTAGGCATACACAAAGGTGTGAGACTAAGAGACTAGGAGATATACTTCCAGAAGGCTCCAGGACTGGTAAATATTTTGAAAGATTTGAGTTCCCACTCATGGTCCTGTTGGAAGTGCCTACTCAAGGAATCGGCTGCAGTGCTTTGCAGGCCTGGCAAGTACGCTGCAGAGGTGTGTATGAGATGGGATATGCCCCAGCTCCACAGTTTTAGTTATTCTGTAAATAAGGACTGGGATCTTGCCCAAAAGCAATCATCTACCCTATGCAGCTGCTCTGTGAATGACATAAGCAAAAGAAGTTACTGCTGTCCATATCACCCAACATGTTGGACACCTGCAAGTCTTCCTCTGTCAGTAACTTCACTATTAATGAGTGTTTAAATATGTGAAAGCAGAGTTTGGCATATATTTTACGATGGGAAGGGGTATAAAAACCTGAACAGAGGGCTAGGGCATTTGTCATTAAGAGTCCATTGTACAGAACAGAGAACCGGATTTTTAAAGGAATTTAAGATACACAGTAGGTACCTAGTGGGATCTACCAAGGTTCCCAATCCATACTGAAGTCAACAGGAGACAAGACCCTAGGAGCGTGTCTGAAAAGCCAACTAGGCACTAAACTTTAAAAATCTGTCCTCGAGGGTTTTAGGCTAGCTGCTTCTCAGGCAATGGGGGAGGGTTAGTCTGAGCCATCTCCCATCTGGCAGGTTCTGCTGACTAGACAGTGAATTTTGCTTTTCTAGCTCCCTAAATTATCTTGATTTTGTTCAAGATCTTTTGCCTTGAGCTATTTTAACCTTACCTGAGCTTTAATTATTGAAATGTTGTTCACTAGCATGTGGTGGTGCACCTAGAGCTTTAGGTTGCCCTAATCCAGCCCCACTTCCTAATGCAAACACATCCTTTGTGTTACAGCATCCAAAAAAAGCAGCACAGCACACACACGCCCTAGCTCAGGGGTGGGCAAAAGGGCCTCTGCAGGTCGGATCCAGTCTGCCAAGTGGGTTGATCCAGCCCACAGAGGCCCTGTCCCTCCGGCGCCCACAAGCCAATTAGGACCTGGGGGCGGGGGAGCATGCGAAGCTTCCTCCCACCCTGTGAGGAGCAGCACAGTGCTTTGAAGCTCTGCACGCTGCTCGCAAGGCAGAGGAGACATCACGTGCTCCCCGCCCCCAACCCGATTGGCCTGGGGGCTGGAGGAGAGTGTGAAGTTTCCTCCGCCCTTCCCTCGGCCCTGCGAGCAGCACACAGCACTTCAAAGGACGGGAGCAGGACTAGGGAAGCTTTGCACAAATTTCAGTTGTGTTGATGTACCCCCAGACTTCTCTTGAGTACCCCTAAGGGTTGAGGGGTACTGCCCTGGGCCACTCCAGAGTCCACCCCCCCCTCCGCCTTTGGGGGGGGTCCCTTATCCTGCCTTCCTAATGCAGGAGCCTGCTCCATCCCTGGGGCAGCTTGTGTTGGCTGTCCAGCTGCTCCCGGGACTTGAACCCACCACCCTGTGCTCTCCAGGTGAACGCAATATCCCCTGGGGGCCACTCCAGAGCTGAGCCCTTTGAAGTGCTGTGTGCTCCTTGCAGGGTGGGGGGAGGCTTTGCACGCTTCCCCTCACCTCCAGCCACAGGCCAATCAGGGCCTGGGGATAAGGGAGCTGCGCAAAGCTTCCTTCAACCTGTCCCGACCCTGCGAGGAGTACGCAGCACTTCAAAGTGCCACACGCTCCTCACAGGATGGGAGGCTTCCCCCGCCAATCAGAGCCTGGGGGCAGGGGATGTGTGAAGCCTCTTCCCACCCTGCCAGGAACACGGGTGCCTAGTGGGAAGGAATGGCAAAGGGGCTCTCCCACCCCCAGACCAATTATGGTCAGGGGGTGGGGAAGCCTAGAAGCATTCTGGATCCACCCCCTTCTGGATTAGGCCCCGCCCTTCCAATTTTTGAAGTGGCCCCGCCAAAAATTATTGCCCACCCCTGCCCTCGCTGATGCCAAAAGCAGCAGACACAGAATGTGCAAGAGCTGTTTGTAGGCTTGGGGCAGACCTGTTTTCAGAGCGAGAATGGAGAATGCATCATCTTCCTGGTTGAATTTCACATGAACAGTCTTTTTATTTCACAAAATTCACAAAACACTGCAGGTCCCCAAGTATTAACCAGTAGGTTTTGAAAACATTGATATACTGACAAAAGCTGCTCATGGACTTCATAGCAACCAGCAGTGTTTTGGTGAGAGAAACACAGGC